AAACAACATCATGGATGTAGATGAATAAGTGCATTTTCACTGTTAAATTATTGATGCATAACTACATACATGATGATGTGTTTTTCATAGGCACATTGATGGAAACCACAAACTTGTGAGATGGAGAATGGTGTTTCATGGCTGTGTGGCTGGTTTTACCTTGATTCTTCACAAAAAATTACAGTTTTATATCTTTATGTTTGAAGCCTGAAATGTGGCAAAAGGTCGCAAAGTTCAAGGGGGCCGAATACTTTCGCAAGGCACTGTATACATGTTGCTGACATTAAAGTTACACTCCTTTATGCCTTTGTGTTCCTGAGCCATGACAAGAACAGCTGAATGTGGGTCCTGTTTGCTTTCACGTGCCCACTACAGAAAACAGCGGGTATGTGAATGTGGCTCAACAGTGCTGGAACAGAAAGCAGCTATTTCACAGGCCAATAGCTCGTGTGTCATCAATCATAAATGACTGTGGGTTACTGTGTGGATATTGCTCCATCTATTTCTGATGGAAATCTGGAAGAAATCCTAATTCCTGATTGTATTTCACCTGCTGGAGCCCCATCCTCTGAGCATCAAGTTCCTTCTGTTTCCTCTCAAGCTCCTCCCTCTGTTTCTGCAGCTCGACCGACTTCTTGTTGATGTCATTCTCCTCGTTGGCCAGTTGCTGTTCATACTCCCTGAGTTCATCTTCAGTGTATAAGGGGAGCTGATCTAAAGTCTGAGGAGATTCAGACACAGAGCAAGGTGGAAGGCAGAGAAAGAAAAAAAATGCATAACGAATAATACGACACATTTCTGGTAAGACATAATAGCACCTGTCAAATTTTGTTAATTGTGTTAGACAATCTGCCAAAGAACAGTTTATTACTTTGCGTTTGTACAGCTTTTACTTTATTAAACCACTAGCCAACTGGAGTTTCACCTAACTGATGCTTAGGTGATTTTACTGTAATATTTATAGGGTACAGTAACATGACAGCAAGGTCAACCAAACGTTGACTCAACATGGTAAACATCATATTCCAAAGAGAATCTAAACATTTCTATAACATCTAGCTCTTACCTGCCACTCATCTTTTTCCAGGTACTCCGCCTTCTTAGTGGCCTCCAAGAACTCACTCAGTGACACAAGTCTGTCTTTATCGGTGTCCACCTGAACAGCAGAAACATGAGTGTTTTAAATCAGTGTCAGAACCAATAGATGGTTTCAAGATGAATCACTGACCACCACTGTGCATGAGGAAGCCTTCACCTTTCACTTTTAAAACTAAAGACTGTTCTTTTTCCCACAGCTTTTAGATAAAGTTATGGTTAGTCTTGGGAAGACAAGTAAAGAGGTACAAAGTATATTGAGAACAATGAGAATCTATAGTTTACCACAGCTGTTCTAAAGGTTTAGCTGGCTGGTATTTCAAATGTTCCAGAAGAAAGTGCATTATCTATCTGTGTGCATTTTGTATGCATTTTAATGTTTTTTCAATTTGAGTATATTGTGTGCATTGTGTTAAGCACTTTGAATTGCCTTTGTGTATGAAGATGTGCTATATAAATAAACTCACCTCCCTTTTTATTTGCTGACACCATTTTCTGGTGATGTTGCCATTTAGCACATTCCAATTTACCTCTTCTTTCATCTTGGCACTTATGTGGGAAGAGCAATGTGTCCGTTTGTCCATTATTGTCAGTTTAAGAGATATCCGACCCATAATGCACTATATTTATTTTTCCTAGCACCAATACTACGTGTGTGACAGAAGTTGCTGAAGGAGCAATGCAAAAAGCAGCTGACAAATTTATTTTTCCATTTACGCTGGGCTGAACCTTACTGTACAAACAATCGAGAAAACAAGCTCACCTCGTTCATAACGTGCTCTCTCATTCGCAGTCTCTCTTCCTCCATCTCAATCATGTCATCATCTTCATTTTGAGGGTTGTACACTTTCTCCAGCTGGAAGACACATCCAGAAATTTTACTTCAAATCAATCTTCATTTATAACATGCAGAGCCATATACAGTACATATACAAAACCAAAACTACCTCTTTAGTGAAGAGCGCTTCAAGCTCGGTTTCATCCAAAAAACCATCGTCATTGCTGTCTGCAACACAAAAGGAATGACTGGAACAAACGGAGCATTTCATTCATACATAGTTTTGTTACAGGCATAAAGGATTAATGTTACTGATGTTATATTAAAGCTACACGGTACTGATATGTGTAGCATAGATCACCTGTCCATGTGCAATACATTCATCTACAAAGATCCTTTTTTTTTTTGATGAGTTCAGACTTTTGTCACTAAATGGCATCACAATTCATTACCTGATTTAGAAGTGGTCATATATTTAAGAGTGATGGTGGTGAAAACCTTTGAACCTTTGTTCATGGCTCTTTAGAGACAAATGTAATGTCTGTGGTCACCATGTAGTTTGAAGAAAGTCTTGGGCTCAAAGGTTTCTGGGTCCAAACCGTCTGCCTCCTTCCACACCTCCTTCAGCTGGTCTTCACTGCCCTGTACACACACACACACACACACACACCAGGGTCACCATCAGTTCATCCTCATTTCACTTTCCTACAGGATTCTCAATTCTTGTATTTTAATGGTAGTTGGTGTCTTTATTTTTTGGTGTTTTTATATTTTCCAAATAATTCCTCCAACTAAAAACCGAGAATAAAACTAAGAATAATGAAAGTAACAAATAAGAATTCTACTAATTTCTATTAAGCCTGTGCTACATTTTAACAAACTTCATCCCAGCAGGTGTCGTACAGGGTGATTAACTTTGGGGTGTTCGGCATGTTTCTTCTTCATCTCCTCGTAGTGCTGCTCTTCCCTCTTGCGGTCCTCCCCGTTCATGTTCTTCAGATGCTCCCTCCTTTCATGCTCCTTCATCATCTCGTACCTCTTGAACTCATCATGACGCTCATTGTCATAGTTCTCCAGGTCTGAGGTTGCCTACAGATGAAAACAAAAACCCAAGAAGGGCTGTAATCAGAGTTGTCTCACAGAGGATCACTAGTGCTTATACTACTATGCATCACAAGTCTCACAAACAAAGGAAATACAGTCATTTATCAGATCGTAGAACGAAGAGGAACCCTGTGCAAAAATACTACACAAACTATAGTCAGGATTATCTTGCACAACTGTAAAACTAGAGCTTTATGCAAACTCATTGAGCTGACTTCTCCTTTATGGTTATCTTACTTCAGAGGAGATGCGCTGCTCACACAGAACTGATGGTGAAATAACCTCTGGTGAGCTGGCCCTCTCCAACAGAGAACACAAAGCTGTCAAGTTATCTAAAATCTAAAAAGGCTAAAGTGTTTAATACAGCCGGTATGTGAATGGTCCTAAGATGTGACTCACTGTTTGACACCTGTAAGTCTCTATTGGCTCATCCATGCTAATTATAGCAATAAAAAGTGCTCTTTACTGTGATTACAGGTATGACTGTGCTGCAGCTCCCACAAACAGCAAAGAGCATAACAGTCACTATAAACATAATGTAAGACAAAAAACCCTGAGCTGCTGTGTACATTACTTTTACTTTGTCTTAACTGATTTTAATGCTGTTAATGTTTCTCTTTGCCCCTGTAAATCTCTGTGAATTGGCTGTGTGTAAGAAATATGCTAAATAAATAAAGCTAGCTTGCCTTTTACAGAAGGTTATTTTATAACACACTGTCAGCTCAATATGCCCTGGGGATACAACAGATATTGCTCTGAGAAGAGTGACTTATTTATTTTGCCTGTGTTTGATTAACCTGATACCAATACAGGTGTTGAGTAGAAATTCCTCATAAAATAAAGTCAGAACTACTAGTGAACACTGTTCATGTGTTTTTCACTGCTGCCTGTACCGATCTGATGAGCCGGTCCAGGTCCTCCACCTCAAAAGTCTCTGGGTTCATGTGGTTGAGGTGTTCAAACTGTCTCAGCAGGGCCTGGTGGTCCACTGTCCAGCCTGCGGCTAGATCGAGTGTTTTAAAAGACAAAGTAGGCATTTCACTTATATTAAATGATAGTAACAGTGTCAGCTCAGTGGTTACTCTTTTCTCCATGTGTTTACCATAGCCATTTTGTGCTTCAGCCGTTCTTCTGACACTGCCAGAGGTAAGCACAGGCTTTGTTTAATTTAGGTTCAGAGCAAATTTGCTTTGGAGAAGAGTTAAGTGAGTGCAAGCATGTTAACCTGAAAGAAGCATGATGGCAACAGATCTGTGTTTGTTTTTAAAACGTCACCACCTCTAAATGTTTCTATATACCATTTATAACTTGCACTGTTTTGCCAAAATGTCTCTGACATAACGTTTTTATAAGGTGATGTGCTATAACTTCAAACTGTACCTCTGTAAATTAACTACACTTTATGGATAGTGATCTTGGTCTATTTTCATATAACCTTTCATTCAGCTGTTCTCACTGGTCAGTAGAAGTCACTGTTAGCTGCGGTAGACAACGTATTACATCATGTTCCGTATCTAAGGGCCACATCCTATATTTGACGATTTGTTGACTTGTTTTACAAAACGTCTTGTCCAACTTCAGTTTTACAGAGATACGTGCAAAATACTTACCATTCCCATTCTGCATGTCATGTTTGGCTTTGATGAGCAGCCGCAACCTGTTCATCTCCTCCCTCTTCAACTCATCCAGCTTTGTCCGAAAACTGTGGTGGACAAAGTCCAACTCTTTGGAAAGTTTACCATTCTGTAAATATAAAATCAACATGCCACCATTTCATACAGTGTTCCAGTCAATAAAAGGTAGCAGATAATGGGCAGTGAGTATGCAGATGTACCTTGATGTCATCCATGTTGGCATTTACGAGCTTTTCTCTAAAGTGAGGGTCTTTTTCCAAGTAATCGATGACTTCTCTGAGGTAGCGGTCATAGTGCAACCCAGTGTCCTGGAGTGCAAGGCAAAACACACATCAGAGTTCTGTGTAAATGTAATTTTAACTTGTTGATATCTAATCTCACTTAGAGTCTTTAGGGAAAACCATGGGGTCACTGAAGTCCTGCTCATGGATAGTAGTGCTTAATTCAACCTCAGATTTCTCTTGTTTGTTTGGAGCAAATCGTCTAAAATACATAAAACACATTCTTTGCTATCCTTTTATCCATATTCAAGTGTATCTTCTAAGTGAAATAGCTCTGTCTGAGACACAATAATATGGCACGCTTCCCTCCTTTCGATGACTCAGTGGTATTTGGTGTAATTACCGATAAGACTTGGATTTAAATGAAATATCCTTGTGTATGACACTGTCCATCTGACTCACAGGACTCTGTTGGGACACCGGCTCCTCCTCTTGGTGCTTTTCTGTGGTCTTATCCACGCTGATAGGCACTGACTGGATACACAGCCACAAGCTCAGCAGAACCAGCTCACAACAGGCCAAAACTTTACTCCTCATTATCTGGTTTAGAAAAGACAACACCCTTAATTTCTCAAGCATTGCAAAAGGAACACAAGTTGCAGCTTCACCTGGAGACCATATGGGATAAGGTTACGCAAGTTAGTCTTATTAATCTCAAAAGCAAGTCGGCCACAAGCAAAGGACTAAGCAACGCGTGTTTAGTGAATAAAAATATAGCAACAATATGCCAGACCCTTATAACTTAAAAGAGTGTTGTGCACCTGTAACACAGTTCAAGACAAACACATAAACTAATCATGTCATTAAAGCGGGGCTGCTTAGTGACGATGGTAGCTAAATTAACATCCCGTAGACGTAGAAAAGCTACAAAACAAGCAATAACATTTATAGTAAATAGCAATAATAATTCTCAGTTCATGCAGAATAACGTTCAGCAGTATATTAGCACTTACTTTGAGCTTCTCTTATTACTCTTCACCACGCTTTAACCGCCTATTTTTCCTCAGTGTCTCAGCTTCACTGGCGCCTGTCAGCTATCATCTGTCATCTGCCACCATGCATGCCACCAATACGAACCTCTAATGGCCACAACCTACAGAAAAAGATTGTGATCGCCATGGCAACGCCCCGCCTACCGCTGTGACTCATTGGGCAGGACAAGTACTCCTTCGTTGTAAAACAGTCGCGTTGAGAAATGATTGGTCGTTGCATCTGTCTGTCAAGGCGTATCAACCGGTTGCTGTAGGTGCGTTGAGACAAACTACGTGGCGTTCAGACAACCCTCAGCGAGGGCGGAGTTAGCGCTTCATGTAAGAAAGACCAGAGCAAATTAAGTTCAATAAAAACGGATATTTTAATGGATAATGGAATAAGCACCTGATTTGCAAGTGCTGTAAAATAAATAAATAAAAAGACAAAAGAGTGTTCAAAATCCCATATAAAAATCCTGGGCAATCAAATATATATTGATTGTATTGAGTGTATTGTAGTGATTGTATTGAGTGTATTTTAAAATATAAAAATAGCAATTTGTGTGTTGTGTGTGTGTTACTTAGTTTTGATTATTGCTTAATTATGGTCAGTTTTATTCACACTTTATGCACCATAGTTTATGCTAAAAGTATTATAAAAATTAATCCTTTAAAAGCAAAAACCCTGCATTTAAAATGTTACCTATGTAAAAGAAAAAAGGTATTGGCAGAAAAATATTATAAATATAAATATATATATATGTGTTTAAAGTAAAAGTACTGAGCTGAGTAATGATCTTATCATGTTTTAATGTTAAAATCTTAAACTGAAGAGTAACTAGTAAATCTGTCAAATATATGTAGTTGACTAAAAGGTATAGGCGAATATATAACTGAAATGGAGAATAAATATAAAGTAAATGACCTCAAAACTCTAATTACATAGGCTACAGAGCATGAACAATGGTAAAACTTAAGTAAAAGTAGTAACACCACAGTGTAAAGAAATCAAACCCTTATTAAGTAAAACTATAAAAGTATTAGCATCAAAATTATACAAGAAGTCCCAAAAGTAAAAATACTTACGTGCAGAGTGGCACAGTAAATTAAATTAATGTATATTATACACTTATTGCTATTGTACATTATTGTTCCACTTTAATGTTGCACCTGGTAAAGGTGGAGTTAATTTTAAACAACTTTGTAGACTACAACTGACATAGGCTTACTTTACATACATAAAGTAGCCTACATAGCCTAAGTACTTTACATACGCTATTTTACATACTTTACATAGCTGGTGAATTTCCAACCGAGGATCAATAAAGTATTATGATTATAGCCTATCGTATTTAGTTTTAGCAGTAGCAGAAAAATGGAAATAGTCAAGTAAAGTAAAATAGACCTACCTCAAAACTGTACTTAATACATGCATAAATGTAGGCTACGCGGTTACTTTTCACCACAGTACACAAGTAAATGAAGCCTACTTCGTTAGTTTCTGCCACTGTACATTAGTAAATGTACTTGATTTATTTCTAACGGCTAAAAGTATTAATACATTTATTTCGACACTACCCATTTTAGTCCACACGATGGCGCTGCTTCCTTGTTTAATCGACCCAGCCAGACATTAGCGCTCTCCGACCGTGTCCAACATTGTAACCAACCAAAACTCAATTCAACCACCTCAACAGGAACTGACGTCCTCTCAGTGCAAGCGCATGGAAAAAAAATGCAGCTGCAGGAAAAATGGCTCCAAACACCGCACCACTAAAAGGTGAGAAGTTAACCCTTTCACAGTAAATGTCTACCTGTAAAAGTTTTAGTTTGTAGGTGCCTAAAATCAGCGGCTGTGGCTCCGTAGTCTCCGGCTGTCTACCGTGTGTCAAAATCTGCATTTCTCCTTTGTCGTGGGCAGTTGGCAGGACCAGAGCTGTTTTGCTTTTAAGTTATTACGCTAAACCAGTGTCCCTCAAAGTACGGAGCAGTCATGTAAGTTGTCGTTGTTTCGCTTAATACAGTCAGTTTGATGTTTCTGGGAACGATATGTTTACCTCTTTTATTGTGTTTAGCTGCTAACTTAGCATCCAACAAAGTTAAAAGTAAAAGTTCCAAATAACAGCTCTCAAAAGTATCAAGACGTGACATTTGGTCGGCCTAGCCGGGTCAGTTAGCTAGATTACTTTCCTATCATTTGTCGAAAGTAACTGTTATGTCACATTAACGCCCAGCTAGTTCATATTTTAAGTTGCGTAGGCAACTTATTGACAATGCACAACGCATCATCCGGTGTCAGGTGAGCATCAACCGACAGGTTAGCTAGCTAGTTGGGTTATGTACGAATAATATGTTCTGTCAGCATTTGAAAGCCTAAACCCTGCTAGCGTTACTTTCGGATTGTGTCGCTAAGGCAAACATTTCACTGTCTGTTGGATATCTATTGAATGTCTTCCAAAATGTTAACATGATAGGTCAGTATCCCAGTACTAATACTTGGGTTCAGATGAAACGCAGTTTTTCTCAAAGTCATTCGAGGAAAGGTTGACCCTTTAGCTAAATAAAAAGAAGAGATAAACATTATATTGTCCTTATAATTATTGTGAATCCTCATACTCACTGCTCTAAACACAGCAGCAAAGCAGGAACTGCCTGTGTGTAAATTACGTTCCTCTGCTCATCTATTGTATATCGTTTATGTAATAAAATAAAGGGATTAAGGGCTAATACACTTGCGGAGTTTATTTTGTCTAAATTTAAGTGTAGGTGCAGTTACTCACAGATTCACATTTACAGGATTTGTTTTGGTATTCTGACCTAATGGGCAGCATCTGGGATCACAGTCCTGTCAGTTTTTTTTTTTTTTTATACACTTGATGATCTGCACAGGCAACCCTCACTGATGGACACAGCAGTGCAGTAAAAAGAGGAAGGTTTTACTATATTGTTTCCTGTAGCAGATACAATACCAGACATATCTATAAACTTGATCTGGTTACTTATTTTTATCTTTTAAATATGCTGTTCTGTACTATGATCAGTTTCAGGGTGTATTGATAGCATCTGTGCTTTTGAACAGCTATTGAAAGCAAAACTCTTGCCTAGTTTGATCAGATGAAATCCTAAATCAACCTCTTCAGAGCCTAAGTGCGTCCCAGTGCATCGCTATGCAGCCAGCAGTTGTCTAAGCTCACAGAGGTTTATTTTAAACTTTAGCAGTTAGCCCTTTGGTTAAAAACATATCATATATGAGATAATTTTGGGGGAAATTTATGCTTAAACAGTTCACATTTGATGGAACAACCCTGTTATAAAAAACCCAGGGTTTGAGTCACTCAGTGTAAAAAAAATCATTTGGCATCATTGAACACTTGGAACAAGGTGATAAGGAATATGTATGTGATACTGTCAGACAATGAGATGGTGTTCCAACCTTAAAGCTATCTAAAGGTCAGTTCATGTAAATGGTATATTGAAGGTTTAACAAATCTGATGGTAGTTTTGTCAAATAATCAAGCAGATGATATGGGAGTTCTCCAGTCCCAGAGTCTCATTTGTTATTGTGGCCTTCATCTTTTCCCTGGAGGTGTGTGACTAGGGTAGCTGTTGTCTCCTGAATACTTTAACAATGTCGTGCTCAAATGTTGCATTCAGGATTTTATGGGGCCTGGGATCTGCCATTCATTGCCACAGTGCTGTGGGACAGAGTTTGTTTGTCTTGGCTGCAGTTAGGTTTCCTTCGTTTTACCTATCCTGCTGCTCGTATTGGACTTTAAGCATAGAATATGGCTGTCTTGACACAGGATATTTTGTGTTTAGCTGTGGTTTACTAGCAAAGAATGAGTCCTTGGTAAATATATCAAAGGTTGGCCTGTTGTCTTTTTCTCAGCTTTCCATGAATTGATATTACTATCACAAAAGTTAAGAGAAACAAGATTGGATGAACAACATTCATGAACTTTAATCACATTCCATGGTATCTCGGAATGACCTAGTGTTTACATACAGAATCAGGAAGTAGCTGCTGTTCCCTGTCTGACTGTGTGTGCTAATTCAGACCCTTGGCTCTGATCTTTTGTGCAGAAGAGTGACTTTAACTTCTCTTTGAGAATGTATCCTTACTGTGTACAAAATCAGTGTACTTTGTTCAGAGCATGTGACATTTCTACATGGAGTTAAGCCATCATTAATGCCAGGCGTCACAAGATGATGACCTCTATTTTCATGCATGCATGTAAAGTCTCCAAGCTGTTTTCCTGGCAGAGTTTGGTGCTAACCTCTCCTAATCAAATGCATAATGAATGCAGCCACATTGTCACTGCCCGCTGGTGTTACCACAGCTGATAAGACAATCTTGGGCCATGGTGCTAACATAATAGTAACAAAGTGAGAGAAATCCAGAGGAAGAGAGGGACCCATTGCACTCCTTAGCATGCCAAATTCCTCAGCTACACAATAGCACTAGGCTAGTCTGAGCCCAGCACAGCCAGCCTTCTCCACCACAATGGGAGGGGAAGCTCAGGAGAGGCCGGTGACGCCTGGGGAGAGCAGGACCTCACTCAACCCTGGGGCTGTGATTGTTGGATGAATGGTTGCTTTGAGAAGGCGCTGTGTCATTTTAGGACCACAAAACACTCTTTGCAGTGATGTTTTTCTCATGTTATAGACATAGAAAACTATTGGCTCCTTCCTGTTGTTGCCTGACCATAAATAGTTCATTATCAAGAATGGAAGATGCCCTTGTTTGGCAATAGTTTAGGATTTTTGAGGCCTGCATGGAAAAAATAAGCAGTTTTTGTGGCATCAACCTGGGATTTGAGAAGTACTGATGGGCATCTTTCACTGTTTTTCTTATCTTGTAAAGCAAAAGATTAACTGAAGAATGAAGAAAGATACTGGCAAATGAATCAATAATGAGAAAGTAGCACACACATTTGTAAGTTTCCTCATGCCTGTAAGTGGGACGAGTCATGTCGCCTCCTGTTAAAAATTACATTGTGTAGTTGTTTGAGTTATTATGGTATGTTGTTGGCTCGGCTGCTTAGATAAACAATTGCATTGTTCACCTTTGCAGTGTCTAGTTGAACAACATACAGTACAAGTACACTAAGCTTGCTATGCGTGAACTAATGAATGTAAATGCTATGAACAGCTGGTACTGTAGCCTGTGCTGCTCTGTGGCCACATTGATGTCCTTGACTTCACAACAAGCACAAGTAATTATTGGCTATGTGTATATGGCAAATGACAAACAATTAATAAACAATCAAAACCTGGTTACAACAACGGGGCCTAGGTAAGCCTCTAATGCCAATTAACAAGTGTTTATGGCTCAGAAACAAGAACAGGTTGCACCTTATAACCCTGGGTTGGGGAGTGTTGGGGGGGTGCAGTCCCTGGCCCCTCCTGTCCACATGCTTCAATGCGCTTGAGTGAAACACAACCACATTTGCTACCAGTGCCCAGGCCACTAGTGTCAGTGTATGTATGTGGGGGTAGCAGATTGTAAAGTGCTCTGTTTATCCCTGTCATGTCAAGGGACATGTAAACAAACTTTTATGGAGTTTCCTCTATGTATGAGTTGGTGTCATGGGCCCTGTATCACTTTATTTTCTCTTTCATTTGTTTTTTTAGTAGGCTAGTAAGGCTCAGTTTACAGCAATATGATCAACAGTGGTCCTGTGTAGCACATTTGAAACAGACTGTATTAACATCCACTTAAGAAAAATGGATCTCCAAAGTGTTGTGCCTCCAAGCACACAGTCATATCTCTTAATCCATGTTAGTAGCTAATGCTAATGGGTTTCTGTGTGACTGGTAATTAATTTGTCAGAACTTGTTTAATTTTCTTTTAGCCTTTGGATTTGCTGGTATAATCTCAAAACGTTCTAAATAACATAACCTGTTTGACCACCTGTTGATGTCATTTCTCTAAAATTTTGTTTTCCTTTTTCCAGGCATTTAAAGCTTTGCTCTGCAACTCTTTGGGCCACACCGACTTAAAAGCCGCCACACTAATGGCACCTTCCAGTTGACAGAATGGCCCAGATATCAAGTGGTAATGGGTTTAAGCTGGATGTCCCCCAGTCAAAGGGGGTTGTGGGTAAAGAGGAAGCCCTCCGCATGGAGGAAGAGGCTTTAGCAAAGTTGCAAAGGGAAAAGAGACACCCTCTTTCAGCTTCAACCTCTGGAGCTTCCTCTTCCTCCTCGAAACCAAAACCATCTATATCTACCACTACTGCTCCTCAGCCTTCACCCTCTACTAACAGACCAGAAAAGGACCTCATTGTCTTCCCAGAGACCAACAAACAGGCAGAGCAGGACAAGTTCAGGGATATTGATGTGGACAAGCTGACCAATGAGGAACTTGAAAAGCTCCTACTTGATGAAAACTTTGGGGCTGACAGCAAGGCTTCCCGCCCCTCATCACTGCTGGGGTTTAACCTCAGCGCCTCCTACCCTGGAGGCCATCCCTGTAACTCGTCTCCTTTCCAGAGCAGTCAGTGGACATCTGTTTTGTCCGCTCCATCTAGCTCCAGTGTGTCCACTCCCACCCATCAGCCCACACCAATGTTTCCCTCTGCTCCATTCCCTAAACCAGGCACATTTCAAAATGGCTTCAGTCCAGCCATGTCTCCTTTCATGCCCCTACAAGCACAGCAGTCACCTTTTATGGCATTCACTCCCATCCAGCCTGCTGCTGCCATGGTCTTCCCTCAACCAGCCATGGACCCAGAGATGGCCAAGCTGTTTGATAAGATTGCCAGCACCTCGGAATACTTGAAGAATGGCAGATCGGCTAGCACTGACCCAGAGTCCTCTCAAGCAAACGCAGCTTCTCTGGCACCTAACTCACAGCCCCAGCAGCCAGCAGTGATGAAATCTTCTAGCATCAGCCGCTTTGACTGGCTGGATCTGGACCCGCTTACAAAGCGGAAAGCTGAGAATGAAGAAACATCCATGGGATCAGAAGGCAATGCACAGGCAGTACCAGGGGTCGCTGCTGGAGATCCTTGGGATGCAGTGCTCGAGACTGAAGGGAACAGCAGTAGCAACAGCCCCCCACTGGAGGTGAAAGCTTCACTGTCAGCCCGCTCGCAGCAGAGGAGGGCATCCAGTGGAGCCGCCGTCACTAGGAGTCACTCGCTCAACATCCCAGGGACCTCATCTCAGCACAAGGCAAACAATCAGGTAGGCACACAGTATCGGTCAGCTGTGGGGCTGTTTGCTAGTGTTGTCAGACGACTGTGAACCACACCCTCACAGTTCCGATGAAGGAGATTAGCCAAGCTTTTGTGTGTTACTCTGTTAGTACCTAAGGTTGTACTTTAACAAAGTTTCGCTTTATTTTTTATTTATTTACTTTTTTGTTGTGGAAATTTGAAAAGCATGTAATTTGAAACCAGTTTAATAATGACTGTATTGCATTAAAGTGTACCAGTCCCAGGGCCTTGGTGGTGTGGATGCTGGCTCAGTGGCCTACTGGGAGACTTCAGTGAAACTGAGCCATGATTAATTAGTTACATCCGTGTCCTATCATCCATGATGTTTCATAGCCACGTATACACACCTGGTGGCTGCGCAGTTCATTTTCTTTTTGCTGTTAGTTACCAGGCATTTTAGCTGAACCACAGGGCGAACTACCTCGCTGTTCGGCCCTGTGTTGGTCATCCCCAGTCATGTTTTCCTATCCAGACAAAGGGTTTCACTCTGCCACCTGCTAGTCCACCGCCATCCTGAAACATCAGTTTACTAACAGCATCTTTGTGTCTTTGCACATTGTCGACAACATGGCAGAATAGATGACTAAATACAACCGCAGTTCCTGTGAGTGAAGTTTAGTCAACCGATGATGGTGGATCCTCTTGTTCAGAAAAAACAACCACCGAAGTCCTGCTTACAACTACGTATACTCTTCAGTCATTTACTAGCATAAACATCCTTTTTACGTCTTCCTCCTGTAATTAAGTTTTTCAGTGTGGTTAGCTGCCTGCTGTTTCACCCCACAGTTTCCTCAAAACCACATTTTGAGATTAATTTTGCCAAGTAAATCATGAGTCATCTACTTTTGTTTTGGTGAATATTTAGAACATTCATTTGGGACAGTGCTGTGAGCAAGTGGCATGGGATATTGTTGCCTTTCCCCTAAAACTAAACAACCATCTGTCATTTGGTTGGCAGCTTTGAGCTGAGGTGAAGACACAAGACATCTCAGCATTTCAGTCTGGAGTAGTACAGCCACGCTGAGGCCTACCAGCCAGACAAATTTGTCATCATGTCTTCTTCTCACAATTTGGAAGTCAGAAATTGTACCAGAAGTTGTTCATCCCCTGCCTGGCAATAAAAGCCAGGCCTAATCAGAAGTGGAAAACTCTGAAATGATGTTTCCTTATAAGGGGAGTCTGAGGTGACAAGTCTGGCAAAAAAAAAATTGTGGGTGGGTGTGTGTGTGTGTGTGTGTGTTCCATCTGCTTGCCTGGCAGCCAGCGCCCATGTTCTTATAAACAGGAACAAGCCTGTATAGCTCCTCTGTGCCCCACAGCAGAACCACAATGACCTGACAAATTGCCCTCTTACTGTAAGCTGCTATGCCAGCTTCTCCATATTTCTGTAAAGTTTAGATACCTCTTGTACACCATGCTTTGTGCAACTGTGATTAGTTTCAGGCAAATAAAATAAGACTTTCAGTATTTGTTTCCCAGTAGTTCAGTTTACAGTTACAGTAGCTTAATACAACTGTATAATTCAAACAGCGTGGCAAAAGAGGACAATCCGAAAGTAGTTTGGCTGATGCCTGTTAGATGTAAGAGCAGAAATATTGGGGAGAATCTAGACTTCAAACCCCAGAAACCATAATAAACAGAAGCTAGTGAACCACTAAAAGCTGATCATAGCAAGTCAAAATGATCATTAGTTGCCTGTAGTTGACACTGATGACATCTCTGAACAACAAACTGATGTTGAGGGTTGGCCATGTTTCCCAAGAAAGACTAAAATGTCTTATTCCCCTGACGATATTTGTCATACTTTCCTCTAAAGAGCAAGCCAGTGTTTTGCTTTCCCATTTACACTACTGCAAAACATTTTTCAAAGCAGGCGACAGTGTTGTCAACTGTTGGGTAGTTTCCAATAATATGAAACAGATCAGCTTACAAAGACTTGAAACTTGCTTGAGCTAGGTTAACCTTGGTGAGTGTTCTCTTGTTTTAGTTTAGTCAACAGTACTTTAGAGTTGCTTATAATGCAGGCTCATTTGATTACGAATGTGCACAGTGCGAGAGCTTAGTTATCAAAGAGCATTGCAGAGCATTATGAGCTGTGTAAGAGCGTCCAAACCCGAGGGCAGAAACAGCAGCCATACGCATTTGGTTAATATAAATTGGACAGAAACCTGCTTTAAATACTCTGCTTAAGGTTATGGTTACTAGGGAAGGTGTTTTTATTATATTTTTCTACTTATTTAATCTAATAGTCTAATAAAGCAATTACTGTTTTGGATCAGCTTCCCATCAGTAAATGTCAATACTGACAGTAAACATCCACCAGCAGGCCCCTGTATCAAATAATCTAGAGTCTATATGTAGGCTGATGAGTTAGAGGCACTACTGTGGAGTTGCACTACAGATCCAGACATCAAATGCCTCTTCAACTCTTGATCTAAATCCCTAATGAAACCTTCAGCAGCGGTGCAACACATTCTGAAATACTGGTTTGAGTTGCAAGATAACTGAAGCGTAAACTGATGGTTGTCCAGCCCACCTAAGTAACTGATCTTGTGCCAAACCATTACATCTTTTCACTAACAGAACTGGCAAAAATAGCACATTTTCTTTCACTTGGGCTGATAAAACAAACATCCAGGTTTTAGATATCAGCCTTGACAAAAGGGTGGGAAACTGATTTTTGGTCAATTTTGATGCACTTTGTCACATGTTGCTTTCAGTGTGAGGTCAAACATGTAATAGCCTATGGGCACTTGCTTGAATTAAAAGTAAGCGGTTTCACCCTATGAATTGTAAAATGTAACTAAATACACTGTGTACAAACCAGCAAAAGTGAGAATTCACCAGGTATTGCCCAATGCCATTATGTTTTTTTTTTTTTTTTCAATGCCATTACATCTGATGAGTGTTTGGATGGCTGTAAGTCAGCCTGAAGCTCCCAGGCCTTGTTGTGGTTGGCAAGAGTGAACCGTAAGATGTGGTAGTGTGGACAAAGGGGGTGTAAAATGGAACAAATGAGCTTGAACTTGGTGACTTAGTCAGAACCATGCTATCTAATGTGCAGTCACACCACATGTGCTGTATGTCTCGGTCTCTTTCTCTTCTCTTAGTCTTTGTTAGCTGTTTTTCATTTCCTCTGTCTCTTACTTTGTCCTGCTCTGTTTTTACATTTCATTTTCCACAGGATTTAACATCTCTTCCTCTCTTCAATCTGTTTGTTTCTTCACTGCTTCTGTTTACATTTTTCCCCCTCCATCATTGTCCCTCCTTCCATTTGCTAGCTGCCTGAGGTACCTGGCTACTTATGCCTTGCTTTGGCATTTGGATATGAAGCTGTAGGTCAGAGATAATCAGCAGTCAAACAAACAGCTCTGTCTGCAGTTTAGCCGTCACGCCTCACAGCACTAATGCTTGTTCAGATCTGGCTCTTATTGTTTGCAAAGCAGCACTGAAAGTTAATGTGTTATTTATCATACATCACCATGTCTGGTCATTTTACTGATCCTCAAAGAAGTGCTTGATTCACTGTTGCTTTGTGTGGTAGATGTTCAGATACAGAGAATAAATGGTTTTAGCCAGATATTTGCATACATAGTCTCAACTGAAAGTAGCCACAAAGTTCATTACTCTGCAAAGAGATGAAGAGTGTAGGAAAATATCAAGCAGATTTGTTGGTTTGAATATGTAGAAAACATCTTTTTGTTGAATTCTTTAGAGAAAATGAGTCCTAAGCACCCAGCAGCATATGTGCAGTTCATACATAGATGTGTGGGCACAGTGTTATTCAGCAGTAACATAAACCTGATGATAAACAGTATGAATATAGTTAATAGGTGAATTATTTATTGGAAAATTACTTTTGAGTCAGTTTAAAGCAAAACTGCCAAATATCTGCTGGTTCAAACTTCTCAAATGTGAGAATTTAATTCTTTTTTTGTCAAACATGATTTTAAGCTGAATATCTTTGGGTTTTAGACTGTTTGTTAGACAGAAAAATCTATTTTAAACTAACACCTTAGGCTGACAAAACTGACTGATGAATTATTAATGAAAATAATCAATAGTTTCTGATGGATAGAGCCAGATAAGCCCATCAACTGAGTCAGTTTTGGAGAGTAGTGGTAAAACACACTGTCAAGCATTTTGCTTGCACTTTCATTACACTTTGGTTCAGCATGTGTGTGCCTGTTTGTTCTCACTTTGCTTCTTCAAAATGACCTGTGGGCTAATTTTTATCTGACCTGGCAGTTTTAATCTGAGCATATGCTGCAAATCATGATCATTGTGTGTTTAACTGAACTATGCAGTATGGCAGCAGGCAGTGTACATTTTCCAACCATCTACACAGTGAGATCTCTCCATCCCCTGCAGACTTAAGCCCTCAGAGAGCTTATATCTCTCACACCTCCACACCTCCCACTCCTGACTCAGCCCCATTTTCTTTCATTATTGTCTAATTATGCCTTAAGCAATATGAGTTTAAGATGCTGCAGCATGCTTAACACTCTGAAGCTTTGTTCCACCAGACTGAGCACAGCGTTAGAGGATGCTGGGCAAACAGCTCTTTGTATCCTAACCTTTGACCTTGTTTACTGGCAGAGAAGCATTGTGGAAGATGGAGTGAGGACGCAGGTAGAGCCAAGGTACTAATGCACATAAAGTCCTTGCTCCTAACAAAAGCTCAGAGAATGGGCAGAGTTGGAAGAACAACAACATACCAGTGAGAGTGAGGATTTGTCAGTTTTGTTTTTATACCGTACGTGTTAAAACTCAACAAGTTCTTAGCATGACTCAAATTATTTCCAATCTCAAAATCCCCATCTAATCAAAATGTCTTTCTGACAGTCAGTCTGTGCCTTGAACCACATTTTTTAAAACCAGAATTTCAGGTTTTATCACAGGAAGTATGAGTTAGATTGCCACCACTAACTTCCTAATTGAAAGCAGAAGTAGATTTGCTCCTCTGATGTAAACCACGCTGCTCCTCACAGGCACTTGGTATCGTTGATGAAGTGTTTCAGAAATGTTGTTCATGTAAACAGCCAAAAATGTTTTAGTAGTGGTCATGACCCATTAAAGTCAATCTTCATGTCCTCAGTAACTGCTGAATCAGCATGACAGCATCACTCAGCATTTCCCATACAACATTACACTGTAAAGTGAAGCCTGGAGCAAATGTGCTGCGTTGTGCTTGGACTAAGTTGAAACTTGCTGGTTTAGTGTCAGATAAATGCTTTTACATTTAACTAGCCAACGTATTTTGCTGTATGCTTCTCGACTTTAAAATCTTGTGCCATAGATTGGTCATATGTTGACAGTGACTAGTTAATATTTGAGTACAGCTTTCCTGTGGACAGTCTGGGGTCGTTTTCATCAGGCTGACACACACAGAGAGAGAGAGAGATGTGTGTGATCCTAGATGTGTACTGTAACTCAATACTGATGTTGGGCTTGGAATTACCACCCGCCGCCAGTCATGGCTGTGGCTGGTTAAAACTTTCAGTTCTGCTACTGTACTCAGTCAGGCTTTACTGTGTGTGTCTGTGTCCCATGGGAAACACCACAAAGTTTCATATCGGACATTGTTTACCAGCACCAAGTATTAAAGATAAAGAGTTGTAGAGGACAAGCTGGAAGGCCCTCGATTCAGGCAGCGAAAGGCTTATCTGTAAAAAGCACTGCATTTGAACTGTTTTATAGTATTTTATTGTGTTTTAATAATCAGCATAAAGAACAGATCCGACCACAAAACAGTTGCATAATTAAGTGCCAAACTGAGACTGAAAGGAGAGAATATGAATATTATGAGCGGTAGAGTGCTGCAAAACGGCAAGTATTACAATATGGTCCGGCTGTGGTGTGCAGACTGCCTCAAGCCACACCCCCCTCATGTTATGTCACTCAGCTCGCACCCCTCACGATACGTCACTCAAGTTATGCCCTTCCAGACACAGAAGAAGGAACAATAGGTTAGCTACAGTTAATTCCATACCCTGCCAGTGTGTGATTGACTACATATGATGCACACATAGCAAATGTAGTAAACTAAAGGCTTGTTTGTTTAGGATTAATGTTACTATATCTTCATCCTGTAAAGGCATTGTGTTGACCAATCACGTACAGGGGACAGTCAGAACGTGACACCCACAGGAAGAAGACTCTTGTTTACCATGTAATCAGTGCTAAGGTAGATAAGGCTATGTTATTGGCATTGGCTAACCAAAACACAACTGACGCTATTAATGTCCATCTGACAAGCTCCTGGGTTGGAATGCAGACTCCTTTAGTCCTTCTTTCCAACACAAGCAACAGCTGAGGTGCAGATTTCTACAGTGTTGCTTAACTATTCTGTTTGGTTAAGCTGTCCTAGAAAAATAGCATGAATAGTTTCACATTTGTGTCATTTTTGAAGAAGCGGGAATCGCATCTTTTATAGTTGACCATGTCTCACTTTGCAGCAGAGTGTGGCAAAACAAGTGATGTAGGGCACCCTGGACAAAATAAGCCTCTGTGCCCGACTTTAATCTTGTCAGTATAGACATTTGCCAAAACAAATTAAATCACTGGCAAGCATGTAGCAAGTTTGGGGAGTATGGAAAAATGACTTGACAAAATCCATGTCTGTCTAAAAGTGTGGAAAAATCAGCATCAAGGAAATTTGCTTTTTGGAATAAAAAAGCAAACGTAGCCATTTTAAAATCTTAGTTCCTAGTTTAGACTTCATTAACCAGTTCAGACTCCTGGTCATATTCACAGTTTACTGTTCATGACCTTGAAACTGACTCATCGTTAGGTTTGTAATCGGGTCATGTAGTACAATGTGTCCCCAGTGTTACGGGCAGAAACATGAGACATCAGTAAAATTAGGGGAAGGATGGAGGATTAGTCAGTGTGTGAATCATATGAAGACGTTCCCATAACTTCGAACACTAGGGTCTCTGCGTCTGGGTCCAACAGACTTGATAGAGTGAAACAAAGACAGGCCGTCCCACTGTACAGCACACTGTGTATGTGTGTTGTAATGTGGCGATCAGCTAACACGGCCTCACTGGATTTTCTGCCCATGTTTGTTTTTGCTGATGGAGTTCTGACTCTAAACATAAACACTGCTTAGGTGCTCTGTTAGAATTTTTTTCCTGCACTGACTTTCTGATGTTTTCTTTGTCTTGTTAGATTTTTTTTTTCTCAATGCTCCTCTCCTCATCCAAATTCCTACACAAATCTTGAAAAGTATGAAATGTTAATCTATAATTATTTCCAAAAGATGCAGCAACTGTTTTCTCAATCTCAGTAATAATATGTTACTGTACACAAACACAGGCTTGTGACACATTTTAGTTTTTGCTATGAATGCTCATCATAGTGGGATATGTGGACATAGCCATCCTGAACCACTTAGAACATTGTGAAATTTAGCCCGCAAAAATCTTGAGAGAGACTGTGCAGGCAGGAACCCAGTCTCCTCTCTGCCTTGCTGGGAAATGCAGGTGGTTTGGTGTCAGGCTCTGGCCTCCTTTCACACTCCATGCTGACTTAGAGATTTCTGTCTGCTGGTGTTATCTCAGGTCAGCTCGCAGCTTTGCACAAGTAGTTCAAGCAGCACAGTTATGGTCCTTATAATATCTCAGATTAACCTGCTGGACGACTTGTTGATATTTTGCTTTTGTTGAATAGTGTCAGTTTACAGGAAACAAGGGAGAGGTAAAGTAGTGCAGTGATCCCTGGCTAAAACACAGCATGTCGGGACACATAGCACTGTCCTATAAGGAGCAGGGGGCTTGATATTTCCTCAATGGAAACTGTGAGGAAAATATTAATTTAACAACCTGTTTTTCGTGACCAGTATGACACAAACAAATAAAAAGTAGCATTTAATAATGAGAACAATGACAAAATGTTTTATAGTTTTGTCACTGAACAAAGTAAACAGTGTGAGAGACGGATGAATGGACTTGACAACCTGCAAGGCACTGAGCCTTGAGTTGTTGTTGCAAGCACCTTGCTAGTATCAGTTAGTGACAGTTTGTCAGGAAATTTAAAATTTGGCTATGTAGGACATCAAATAAAAGCTCTAGGTTAAAATTTTCCCAGGATTCTCTGAGGGCAGGAAGAAACTATTATTATGACATCCCAGACATTTCTTTCACCCTTTCTGCGTTTTCTTCCCTTGCCTCCTGCCCTGGCTGTAAACCTCTCTCTCGCTAACTGAGGGTGATGTCAGACTCACAAATTTAAAAGCTGTGACTGAGCATTTTTGCAGACGGCAGGCACAGGAAGAGGTGGGGCCCTTTCACTTCTCATTTCCTGTGCCAGAGGAAACGCATTCTTCAGCCGCTGGCAGGCAGACAGCAGTTAAAAGCCGAGTGTAACTGCAGCAGCCTCCGGGAATCTCTTGGAGTAATTCCCAAGAGATTTATTTCAGGATCTGTGTGTGAGAGAGAAGGAGATGGATTGACAACTCAATTCCTAAAATGTTTGCGTAAAAAATAGATTTAATGGAAATATTTTCTCTGTGTATTGTGAAACTTTGTCTAGTGTAAGAAGAAGCCAGCTTAGCCTCTGGAGTACCTAATTGTTATTGCTGGTGTGTGTCACTGTTTTGATAAAAATGTGTGTGTTTCACTGTGTCAAGCTTTTGGCCTTGCTGACATGTTTATTGATGCAGCAGGATTTATAGCTCTGAGGTGTTTTCAATAAAACTGCTCCTTCAACAGTCCCTAAACACAACTATAGTCTAGAACAGTTAAACTGATGGAAGGAATTCATATGTGCTGGACATGGCAGCCCTATTTAAGGGCTCACACAGGCATTCACAGGCTTTGGGTCTCGCATGCTTTTGTTTTGAAGTATGTAGGCATGTGATTAATACACATGTATGTTTTAGTTCCCTGACTTGGTGTGTTTGGCTCTTTCGCTCCTGTAGGACAAGGGAAAACGAAAAAGTCTGGTGAAGAATGCTGCTCTGGAGGAACAGGATGCTCAAGACCTGGAGGTTGTCGCCTTCTGTGAAGACGTCGCAGCGTAAGATCCTTCCTGTTGGCATAAAAATAAAGGCCCTCTTTTGATTATTTTTGACCTTCTTTGTTTGTTTGAGTGCTTTGTAACTATAGTCTGTGATATTAAAGCAGCTATAACTGATACATTTTTAATAACAATGAATCACATGACAGTGTGAAAGGGGTCCCTGGCAGGGATGAATCGATAGAAATTCCCTAATTATCACCTGAATCTGCAGCTCCCTTTGCTTTACCATGTTTACTGTTGAATTTCAGGTCATTGTTTAGCTGTTGTTGTTTTTTCTTTTCCCTCACCAGCCTGCGTTCCAGGTTCCCTCATGATGACATGTCCACCAACCCAGGCTTTGTCCTCAGCCCTGTCATCACCCAAAGGGATGGTGGAGGTGACAACAGCTGCTCTGTCAAGGTTTCTATTGAGATCTCTGATTCTCAGCAGCCTGTAACTTTCACCTGTGACGGTAAGCATCCATGGGCAAAAATGTTCGAAGCAGCTCCTAACAGAATTAAAGAAGAGCATACAGCAGATATCAGGCACATATTTCACTCCAGAATGGATGCACAGCCTTCTGTAATTTTGTACAGATGGCACATTGTTGCTGTCAAGTCAGCCAAACATGGAAACCGTGTACCCCCTTGCCTTTAAGAGTGAGCAGTTCTGATTGCAGATAACAGCCCTCCGAAAGAGGAAACAGCATTCACAGCTGCCAAACTCTTCACCCCCCTCCCCACCTCAGTTTTTCTTTTCATTTTTTCTGTCGTGGGAAGCACACCACATTCCTTTTCTGCACAAATAAAGGTTTGTCCCCCCACCGTGGACTAGCCATGCTGGGCAAAAGGGACTGGAGTTTAGTTTTCTTCTTTTTTTTTTCCAAGGGTACACTTTAAGATTTTTGTTTTTCTACACTGGGTGATTGGGGAGTTGTTATTGGCTAGCCCCTCTTTTTACACACACAAACCTACATACAGCATGACTGACATGTCTTTTGGGATGTGAAGCCCATCACACTGGCAGCTGTCAGGCCGTCCAGTGGGCCTTTTTGTTAGACAAATTATCCCAACTGTGTGAGCAAGTGCAACACTCCCTCTACACGATGGTGTGTTTTTGTTTGTTTGTGTAGACTGTAAGTAAAAGGTTCAAGGTCACCTCTATTTTTCCACTTATTTGTGTAATTCAACAGCCAAACACACTTGTGTCATTCTTTCTATTACTGAAATCAAATATTATTCGGATAGCACTGTTACAGAAGTTCCCACAGATGTGTTGAACTTGTAGGTTGATTTGCTTTCACTCATCGTCTGGATGCTTTGCTGCCATTCTGTCATGTGAAGACTGCTGTCTCATTCTTTTCTTCTACACAGCCTGGAGGGTTTTTTAGGGGATCATTATCCTCCTATAGAATGAAATCCTTAGGTCTCACCAATTGCTGTACTGCTGAACTCTTAACTACAGCTAACATAAAAGAAACTAAAATGATGTTATTGTAAGTAAGATAAAATGAAAAGCAGCAGTGGCAGAGAGGAGGAAGCACCATCACAGACAAGAAGTCTGCCTTCTCCCAGAGCCACTTCATTATCAAAGTACTATACATGTGCAGGAATGTGACTTGATTAAACCGGCAGAGGAGGATACAGTCGGATGCAGATCAGTCTCCCTACACTTCAAAGTACATGCACACCGAATCTGTCTGAACTGTTCCACATGTGATGAAACTGGTGCAGTAGGCCTGTATGTTTTTACCTGGTGCTGTATTCTTGTTGCTAATTGTCAATGTGTCATAATGGTATTAACCAAGAAAGCTCAGCTGTACAACAAACGGTGAGGTTGATGAGAGTCCGTGAGATATGTTCTTAACCTAATGGACTCACTACAGCCATTACAGCATGCCTTAATCTTAGATTCGCATGCATTCAGCCTAAAACTAACTGTACTTTACATCTAATTATTGTTTTCAGTTTGCCACTGTGTGTCTTCCATGTCTTTTGATTAGATTTGTTATAAAAGCTGAACTCTGTTTGCATCTGAGTCATTTAGGAATAAAATCATTCCTCCTTTTTTTTTTTTTTTTTTTTTTTTTACATCTTTGCAGTATTGGTCCTATGGATTTAACAAGCGAGTGACTTATTTATTTTACCCTCTCAGCAGCCCTCCTAATGTGGCTCTTACAAGACAGTGATTGGACCTAGCCCTTAGACCTTGTGTATGTTTTTATCAAATTGACCATTGGTATTTTTGCCCATATGAGACCCTACCAATGCCCAATCCCCAGCCATGTGTGAAATGGTTAACAACATGCAACAAAAGAATTTTCTCTCTTTTTTTCAACTGGCGCCCTCAAAAATGTCCTGCCAGGAATTCTCCCACCACCTCAGAGTGCTCAAAAAATTAGGTGTGGCCTGTGTAATTGCTTTGTTACAAGACACCCTAACACATGTATGAGCCAGCGACCACCACAGCCACACAGGACCATGGAGCTAACGCGGCTGGTCTGAGCAGTAAGAAAAGACTCACCATTCCTCTGAAGGGTGGAGGTCTGTTATTGCTGGAGCTAAGGGTGGTCTCCCTCCCTGTGCGCCTGCATGAACATCTATGAAGTAACCTGAGTCTGTGCGAAGTCCAAAGCTGAGATGTGTCTGCCTGTATAGGCATGGTTAAGTGTGTACTTAAACCTCTCTAGAAGTAGCTAAAGAGCAGAATAATCTGCATTGTATCAGGTTACGCTCTCCACCCAGTCTTCCCTTGGGTGGACACATCAGATGTTTGAGCATACACAAACATCTAGAGCTGACCCCAAATCCCCTCCACTTGATATTATTACACAGCACAGTGCTGTTATTCCTTTGATTTGAGAACGGGTTTGATTTGAAATGAAACTTCACCCATTGAAAACAGGTTAAAGTTGGAGAATGAGAGAACTTTCAGTAAGTGTAAGGTGTAGAGTTCAGTTCCCACAGCAGCAACTGTGTCTTTTAACTGCCACTGAAACTCTTTATAGACTCTCACCTAAAAAGGTCAATTGTAACCCTTGACCTCTGACCCCTCTAAAGCGTTAGAGGGGTGTATCAGGTGTTCTATTCACTGATGGCCCTATGTGTCTGTGTCTTTACTTGAACCACCCTAAATCCATTTCTTGTTGTTTCCCATCAGTTTGTGTTGTGCTTGAGCATGTTAAGGGAAGCAGCTAATCTTGGTTTAAAATCATTTGACCTAATTCTGATTGTGTCTCCTCTATTCTGTCTTCTATTCCATCATTCTCTTTTTTCCCTTCCTTTGATCTGGATTTTATCTGCCACTGATCGTGCTTTCTTTGCTCCTCACTCCAATTCTTCCTCTCCATCAATCTCCTTGATCACCCTCTGTCCCTCACTGCCTGCTTATCTACCTCTTCGTCCCTCCCTCCTTCTTCCTCAGTGAGTTCTCCTGTGGAGTTATTGATCAGTCAGACTCTCTGCTGGGTCCACGATGACCTGGACCAGGTTGACTTCTCCAGCTACCTGCTCAAAGTGTGTGGCCAGGAGGAGGTGCTGCAGAAGTGAGTACATACAAAAAGACACACTGACGTTAACTGCTGTTGAACAAAAACTGCTTTTCCAAAACCATTTAGAAATGTCAAGAAACGACCTTTCCCAGGCTTATGTGGTATTTTTGTTAATAATGTGTGGGGTTTTGAATGGGTTTCTTTTCACTGTGTTTTCTTCATCCCACCTTCTGTTTCCTCTCTCTCTCCTACTGTTCCACTTTCCTTACTCTAACCTTTTTCTCTATCACCGTATTATGTTAACATCCCCCTCAAGATTCTGTACAATAGTACTTACGGATGTTTCTATATCTTGCCCCCCCCCCCATTATAACTGCTGAAAAGATAGATTTTGTGTACGGTATGCTGTGCTAACTAATCTTCACAACCTTGCACTGGCATATTATTAATAAGGTTTTTGGATTTTAATACTTTAAGGTTATACACATACAGTATTTGTTCAGATCCATTGTATAAAGACCTGTAAACTATGATTATAATGCATGCTAGAATGCTTCCAATAATTACATCTCTACTGTACCTGCAATCGTAGCAGTGTTGTTATGGTGGAGCTTGAAGCAGTGTCCCATCTGCTAAATCCCATGTGTCGGTAGTATTTGTTCTTGGCAGATAAATCACTGAGTCACCAGCCACACTTGTCACTGCCTGTTGAAACAAAGGCAAACTAGTGCTTTGTATACATGCTTTTGTCCTTTTTTTACTTGAATGTCACCTCTCGCTGAGCGTGATACAGTCAGATCAGAACCATGCATCAACCCAGATGTTAAGTTTGGACACGATTTATAAGTATTACTGCTGCATTATTGCACGCTCATAGAAAAGGTTTTGAATTTAAATAGACAGAGGGCATATGTTATTTATCAAATAACCGCACAGCCCTGATGAGACGGCCCGATCACCTTTCCAAAGAGAACCAGTGAAAAGAAAATGCTAACGCCAATTAATCCTTGTAAATTGTGTATGGAGGAACGTTGACTCTCTTAAGGCAGTCCACTCGGACCTTGGACACAGTCTACTTCACTGAAGGAATTATTAGCTTTTTGTTTCTCTTTATTATCCTTAACAAATAGCGTTTGTGGTTTCCTTAACTTTGCCTGTGTGTTGCCCTGCCCAGTAAACACAGCCTCGGCAGCCATGAGTATGTCCAGAATTGCAGGAAGTGGGAGAATGAGATCACGTTACAACTACTCTCTCACTCCACCATGAGGAGAGATTTGGCACGCAGCGTAAGTCACTCGACCAGTCTGAACTTTGCAGGAGAATTTCACTGAACTGTGACATACTGTAAAACAATTTCAAGTTGCTCCACGAAGATTATTGCTTAACCTTTTTATCCCACTGCTGGAAACTGACAACACAGCATTCTCATGTGAAATTACCATCTCAACAATTTGTGACTGAGAGTTATCTACCTGCTCTCTCGGCCGTTTAAATGGTGCGGTTGTTAAATCTTGACCCTCTGGTTTTAGGCGGAAGATGACAGCTCTGCAATAGACTTAGAGAAGCACCTGGGCCAGGTTGAGAGGCCTTTTAAGGAAAACGTCACCAGGTATGAGGCTCTTATACTGTTTAGTTTAGATTGTAGGATTGGTGCAGAAATGGTTCACAAGGAAGCTTCAGAAAGATGTCTCTTTTTGTTCTATTTGACTGCCAGTTTTTTAAAATTATTATATTGTACAAAAACATTTAAAGACCTGTAGTTATTTTAATGAACTAAAGTAAACTTTCTGTTTTCTGTCTTGGTTTGATTAGCACAGACAGTAAGTGAAACAGTCTAAGTCCTCTTTTCCCAGTTATCTGTCTATCTGTGTGTCTTCCTGCAGACAGGGCCTGGCTGACTATTTGGAAGGCTATCACAGTCAAGTAAACATCTGCCTACAAAATGAGGTACAGGAGGTTCATCTTCATGAGTGGAAAGTGAAAGGAAAGGGTGGAAAATTATTCCGATGATTTCCAAGTCTTTAGTTTGGAAACATAAAAGAACAGTTGAGAAAGTTGCTTTTGCACTGTGAACTGCTTGTCTGTTTCTCAGGGGGTTGTTGTTCATCAGATAAATTTATTAAAATGTTTAATCCTGCTCAAAACCTTTTAGAAGCTAATATCTCTGCACTGCTGCCAGTGCTGTTCAATGAGTCTGGGTCATGGGAGGCTTCGACAGCACCTCTCCACATTAAGACATGTTTTGGAGCAGATTTCTACAACAAAAATATTTGAAAATAGTTGTACATGGTAGTGCTGAACGCACACAGCTACTGGGAGGGTTACCACTTAACATGCTCTGTATCTCTGTATTCAGAGTACCCAGTATAAGACGGTAGACCGGGTGGTGCAGACTGTCAAGAACCTGTGCTGTGCTCTGGATGAGGTGGAGACCCAGGCCATCACAGAGGCTGTGAAAAGACTGCGACACTCCGTCAATTTACCTAGGACACGCTCACCCAAGGTGGACTCTTGTTACATACTGTACACACAGTACAGCCATCATAGTGCTATTTACATCTCCAGACATCTTTCTAAGATCAGCATGCTTTTCTTTCTAGATGGGGTCATCTGGTCAGTCATCAGATGGTGAGTTCTGTACATACACACAATCACAATCCATCTCCACCCATTCATCTAGACTTTGTTGCCCCACACAATAAAAATGGACAGTGTTTTGATATATATTTCCTTGTATGTCCTTATTGGCACTATCCGAGCACACTGGTGGCCAGTGTTTGGGAGTGGCAGCATGTGTGTCAGTGTAGTGTAAAGATGCACCTTAGACAGAATTGCTGAATGTCTAAAGTTTTGTTTTCTTACATCATTTTTTTTTATTAGTATAAATCCAACCCCAACTGTTACCATGATATCTCTTGGATTTCACACTGATCCCTACTTGCCCTTGACAGGTTATGCCAGTCCTGTGGAGGAGTGTGTGGCCTCACTAACGCAGGCTGTCTACAATCTGGCCAAGCTTTACTTGCGCTCCTTCTGTCCTCCCTCCGCCTCCTTCTGCTCGTGTCCATTGCCCCAGGCTGCAGAAGGGGAAGCTGCGGAGGGGACGAGCAGCAAAGAAGCTTCTGGAACCACAGACCACCTTCAGTTCACTCTGTTTACTTTGCACGGCATCCCAGGCAGCTGGGTCAGCAGGTAAACAGGATGAACGCACAACTAATGCTAAGCAAGTCACTAAACTGTGGGATGGCTGGGAAAGAATATTTGTGCAGTCCACCTAAGTTATTTCAGGGTTTGTTATACTTGTATTCAACTGTAGAACTTCCCATCATTATTTTAATGATACCCAAAAATACATTGACAGCATTTTGTTTCACCTTTGATATAGTGCTCATGGCACAGTACAATAGATCATACTTTATGCAGTATAAGTGTCCTGTTTGTAAATTTGTTGTACAAAACAGGACAGTGAGAGAATTTAGTGCCTTGAAAAATAGGACATAGGCCTGCTGTGACTCTGTCTCCATAGTTTATGATTCTTCTTCAGAGCAATAAATTAGTAGTCATAAAGAGTGTACAAGCACATGAAGCTTGTAGTTGGATGTATATTGCACCAAATCTTGCCTAGACACTCTGTTAAATAGTGTTCATACTTGAAATACTCTATTCTTTGCTGCAGGATAATTAAGACCTTTATTCATGTATTTGTTCTTGCGTGATCACCCACTTGCACAGTAGTATTAGTGCCACCCACATTTCATTTAATTGTTCTTATGCAAGATGAGGTCAGAGATGAAGACAGAAGGCGGGTAGAAGGTAGTTCAGAATTATAATTACTGTGTTTTCAAAGTACATACAATGTGCAGGAACAGAATAAGTAAATTCATAAGTAACAATATGAGTTTGTCTCTTGAATAAACTTGTATGATAACCTTTTATTGGTAAGCAGCCAGGACAAAACACAGTCGTAGCAGGTAGTCTTGTTTTCTTCTACTAAACAAAGGGCTCCGGTGATGCTCCTTGTGTCTTACGTTTTCATACCAGTGTCCAGTTTCACCCTGACTTTTATCTCCTGTGGCTGTCTGGTGCAGAACTGAACCAGATTTTCCATTCCTAGCTCTGTCACACATCAGTGACCAGGATCAGTGCATTTCTGACAAGCCCTTCCACAACTTAACAGTCTTGATCTCAAATGAGGCCTTGTACAGGGAAACACATTTCCTCACTGTGCGTATGACAATAAACCCTTGACCTTTTGTAAGTTTGGAACATGTGAAAATGTTTTTGAAGCTCTTACTGTTAAATTGCTCAGTCTTAAAGTCTTGGTAAGATAGTGTTTCTTAAGACTGTACAGCCTTTCCCAACAGCTATTTTAAGCCTGCACCAAACATTGCTGCCGTGATGGTCATTCCAAAAACACCTCCAAAATATTTAGCTTCCCAAGGCCAGAGGGAAGCATGGAGTGGAGTATTTCCTGGCCCAGACGAGTAGATTGGATATCAGTTGGGTTGTGGTGTTAATATAATGACCCTTTTTTCTTGTCTGAATGATTGGCATTGTTGTGGATAGTGTGTCATCCATCTGGAGCCTCAGTAGATGCCACAGCATTGCCAGCATATTGAGACAGCAGGACTAGTGATGGAGCTGCCAACACAGATGGTACTGAGCAGTGGATCAAGCCTGTAACTGGCATCCTCGTGTTTTAACTCTGATAAAAACAGAGGTTAATTTTGGATATGTTGATGAAACTAAGTGCTGGACATGACTGACTCATCACATTTGAAAATATAAGTCCTTTTTGTCTCAAATGAGGCCTTGTTTATGACCTTTCTGTAGGTCCACCGATGCTTTTCCTGTTACAGCAATCCAAATGGTTGCTGTGCTATTTTACATACAGTATCTTTTTATGGCTGTATTGTAGCAACTTACCAACAGCAGCTAACATCAGGGTTCTACTAGAACTTTTCATAAACTGTAGATTGTGCTCAATTAAAGATAAATGGAGAAAAACTATTTATTGTTTGTATTGTTTCAGTTATGAGAAGTACTTCCTGATGTGTTCCCTCACGCACAATGGCAAGAACTTGTTTAAACCAGTCCAGTCCAAGAGAGTGGGCACATACAAAAGCTTTTTCTACCACATCAAATGGGACGAGCTGTGAGTGACTACCTTGTCTTTATTCCTCACCTCCATTAGCTGTTTGAAATGTCCCTAACGGCAATAATGTTCTGTTTCTACTGTCCCATGCTTGTCTCTTTCAGCATCAGCTTCCCCATTGCAATAGCTGTGCTCCCACTGGAGTCCGTTCTTAGCCTGGCTCTGTTCGGGGTGCTGAATCAGAATGCCAGCGGCTCCCCAGACTCCAACAAACAGAGGAAATCTCCAGAGCTGCTGGGCAAAGTCTCTATGCCGCTCTTTGATTTCAGAAGGTGAGGGGGAGAGAAGCAGCTGGTAGTGGCTGTACACAGTGTTTTGTGTATTTTATATTTGTCTTTTCAGACTTTTTGTTAACAAACAGGAATGAATAATAATCTCATAGCTTTTGGAACAATATTGTAGCTGTGGAAGTGGAATGACCATATACATGTTTCTGCCACATTTCTGTGAGAAATGCTGTCTGTAAGATAGTTTACTCTGGTTATTTGAGTGTTTTGTTGTTGTTGTTGTTGACTGTGTGTTAGGGTGCTGGCTGGGGGCAGCAGGTTGCTCTGTCTGTGGACATCTGCCCAGGGAGCTGCCACTGCTGCCGGCTCTACAGGCAGCCGCAAGAGGGTACCCACAGAGAGAATAGTTCTACAGGTCGGTGGTGGTGCTAGCAGCATATGTCCTAGTAGCATTAGTATATGTAGTAGTTTTAGTACTAGTAGTGGCCATGGTGCATTAATTGTAGCAGTTGTACTACAATTCATAGTCAGTGTAGCATTGACACATTTAGGACTTATAATGAGCTTAACAGTTAACAGTAACGGAGACAGTTTTGGAGTAATAGTAGAAGTGTATGCAGTCATAGTGTAATAGTTTTAGTGCTGACAAACTTAATTGGAGCAGCCATAAGAGTCATAGTACAGGTACCACAAGTAATACTGTAATGTCAGTACCTTGTATTTTTGCTTTCAGCTTAGTTTTTATTGTCTGGTTCTAGTGTTTGTGAAGAAGTGCCTTTTTGAATTTAAAGTTACTACAGAGGAATAGCCTGATCCCGACTTTGGTATCTGTGTTACCATCAGGTGGACTTCCCCAACTCACCGGTGGATGTTTTATATGTGGCACCCAAGGAAGCCCCCAGCCCAGAGCCCAGCACACTGGAGGAGTTGGACCCAGACCTCCGACGCAAACTGGAGAAAATCTGCAGTCGAGCTTCAAATTTTGGGTAAGAGAACATCCCTCAGGTTTTCAAAGCTATAGCGGCGAGAATGTGATGCCCAGATGTTTGTCTGAGAGTAGGTCATAAACATTTCTAACAATTCACCTGTTCGGCCTTTTCTGCTGTCACTTCTAAAAATTTGTAAGGGAAATTTTGGTTTTTGAAAGCACTGATATCAGTTAATATTCCTAATCTTGCTGAGCCTGTGATTCTTGTACAAACACAGGAGGCTTATATTGAAAGGTGTGTAGATTTTCTATGCTAAATATATGTTTCCACATTATAATTGTAGTCCATTGTTATCCACTGCTGGTCAGGCTTGTTGTAGAGTTGTAGTACTTTGTGCTGTGAGACTATTTAAAACAAGCACAGTGACAGTATTTCTAGTTAAATTTATCCCCTGCTGCTGACAGCTTTTTGGCTGTTTCTCAGACCACCCGAAATCTGCTGGACTTACTAGATTAAGGAAGAGATTTTTAAAAATGCCGCTGACTTGGCCGGACACAGTTCCCAATAAACGCCTGTTCTCTTCCAGCTGCTCAAGCCCAGCTAAATGCTCACTTATGCCTGCTGCCAGCCAAATCCCTTCCACATTGCCAACATCCACGAGCCTCAGCTGGCACTTTAACACTGAAGCCTGTCTCACTGGGCTCTCACTGCCTGCTCTCTGTCCTGCCCATTCATTTCTCCAGCTTTTGTGGGCACAAACTTGTGGAGCTGCAGTTTCTTTTATCTGTCTGTGTTTTTATCTGTTTTATCTTTTAATCTCTCTGTGTTGTTTTAGTGTGAGAAATCATCAGTTTCTGAATTAATTTTTATTCCTATCATCAGGGCCAGGAACAGACCAACAACTCTGGAAACTAGAAATCCAAATGATGTAGGAATTTCTTTTCAGGGTCTTTAGTTAATGTACAAAAAACGTCACATCTGATCAACAGTGTTAAATCATTTTTCTGTTTCCTTCTGTGGTTTTGTGAGTTTCCAGTGTAATGTGACTATGAAGTCTCGTGATAGGATCTTTTCCTCGTTGTCTGTTTTAAACATTATAGTTGGTCCTGCAAACCAAACTCCACTTTGAGACCATTTATGTTGCAACCCAAAAAACAAAACTGACAAATCTGAGTTGCTTAGAATGATAGATAAATCTTGTAAGTACCATCCAATACATGTTCTGTCTGTTTTTGCCTTATCTCCAGGCTGAAGCGGACAGAACACCAGATCCTATGGGACCATCGGCTCCACTGTCGGAGGGACCACCCCAGCAGCCTGCCCAAGGTGCTGGCCAGCACACCCAGCTGGGACTGGGCCCGCATGGCTCACATCCACTCTTTGCTGCACCACTGGCCTCCTCTGCCCCCTGTCACTGCGCTGGAGCTGCTCGACTCAAAGTGCGCACTGTGCTCCATATTTATGCTCAGTTTCTCTCTGTGGCACCACAGGTCCATAAGAAATCTGTCATGATTTAAAAAAATAAATCTAAATTTGTTTGAAGAATTTATATTGTTTTTCATGTTTGTTTTTCTTAAACTAAAGTTGGTATTTAGCATTGAATTGCTTGCTGTCTTATCATTAAATTATAACTTTGTTTTTAATCTGCTCAGTACTTTTAGATATTAAAATATAAATGTGTTTTTAAATGAGATTTTGTACTGGTTAGTTTGTGATGGTCAGAGTGATGCTGCCAAAACCAGCACAAAGAATTTTCTGTACTGTACAAATCTTAGTTTCTGGATGGCTTGTTATTAATTTTGTGTGTGTGTGTGTGTGTGTGTGTGTGTGCGTGTTTAGATTTGCAGATAGAGAGGTGAGAGGTGTGGCTGTCAGTTGGATTGAGAAGAGCAGTGATGATGAGCTAGCTGGATACCTGCCACAGCTAGTACAGGTAAAATACACACGTGCGTGTGCACTTTAAATCTGATCACATAGTTCTTCATCCACACACTCGCTCATTCACTTATTACTCACCTTGTTTTTGTCATGTATTCACTTCAGTTCACTCAAAGTTTCTCCATCCATCATTCTTAGTCACTTTTTTCTTTCATCCCTTACCAGGCATTAAAGTTTGAGTGTCACTTAAAGAATGCCCTCGTCATGTTCCTGCTGTCCAGAGCTCAAGGCAACATCAACATCGCCCACTACCTCTACTGGTGAGTCAGCTGTCAGTTGTTTTCCAAACAAGCAACTGAAAGTAAAGTTTGCTCGAAGTGTGCCTGGTAGATGCTGAAGTAAATAAACTGGCTTCCAGAACATGTGGGGTAAAATGGTATTGTAAGAAGTGGTGAGCAATTGGTGTAATTGTAATCTTTTCAGTGTTTTTATATTTTTCATGTGTTTACATTGCTTTTTAAAGCACCTTTTCCAGACCTGAGCTTTTTTTAAGTGTTGAGGTACCTTATCTTTTTAAAATGATCTCACTGCTGATGCTCTGTGTAGTAATAGCATGTTACCTGTTGAATCAAGGTCCCTGCCTCACTTGCTGCTGAGTTGGAATCAGCATTTCTGCCAGGAAAAATTTGTATTTTTTTAATGGTGTTAAGCCCATTGATGCTGGTCACAAAACAGGCATAAGGAAAAGCTGGTGTCCAGAATGAAAGTGCCCTTTATATTTTGACTGTTGTGTGTAAATGGCTGCAGGCTGCTAAAAGACGCTGTCCAGGATCCTGCCTGGGGACGGCGATATGAGCGGGTGCTTGGTGCCCTGCTCTGTCTTTGTGGAGCCAAGCTGAGGGCAGAGCTGGAGAAACAAACACACCTGGTCACTCTGCTGGGAGTTGTGGCCGAGAGGGTCAGACAGGCCGGGGGATCCACACGGCAGGTTAGTGTGTGTGACTATAATGCTGTGTACTATGCTCAGTTGTGTGTGAGCATAATATTGTGTGTGTGTGTGTGTGTGTGTGTGTGTGTGTGTGTTCAGGTCGCACTGCAGGAGGGCCTTGAAAATATCCAGAACTTTTTCCAGAGGAATAGCTGCCGACTGCCCCTCAGCCCCAGTCTGGTGGCCAAGGAGCTAAATACTAAGGTAACACACGTGCAAGCCGTTAATATTAAGAAGATGTCGTGACCAAAATCTCACATATACCTTATGTACAAAGGATTAACTGTAGTGAATTCAGCAGTAACATTAAATATGAATTCATGGAGAACAGGAAAACGAGAAGAGCTGAAACTGAATCGTTGGTCAGCACACAGAAAAAAAAAACATAATTACCACATAAAATGTCTGCAATTTGGACAACAGAGGGAGTGAGCTCATTAAAGGATGGTTTTGCTAAAACATAAGCCACATACTTTGACAAATTTTACAGATATTGATCACACATAAAGAGATACTTTATGTGGTACACATTGAACATCATTCCATATGTGGCAGCACTGTTGTTGCTTCAATCTGTACCATGATTAGCAACAGCTGCATAGTCTCAAAGTAAAGTGCATTAGAAACAACAGGTGAGAGCTGCACACGGTCAGAAACAAACCCAGCATCCTCTAGTTTAGCAGCTTGTATAACTCAGGCTTTAGAAGAGTTATAGTTTAAACAGCAACTAAATATATACCCAAATTACACTTGATAATAATGCATCCCTTGTCCCAGATACAATGTCTCTAAGTATTTCTGGCTTCATCAGCATGTCTGTGTTGAGCAAATATAAATCTCTCTCTAGGTTCTACTGGACACTTGGTTCCAAAATAACCATTTTCATTCTGTTTGAGTAATTAAATGTGCCATTTTTGAAGAAGCATAATGATGGCAAACTGTATATGGTTTTAGCTAGGTGAGGCAAAACAAGTCACTTTAAAAACATATCCAAAGATTTACCAGAGAGACCAGGGAGCAATAGAGAAAGATGTGATTAGATCATTTTGTATTGCAAAATCTAACATAACAGTGTGATGTAATGAAGAGGTCATGTGCTCTGTGTGTGTGTGTGTGTGTGTGTGTGTGTGTGTGTGTGTGTGTAGGCCTGCTCCTACTTCAACTCTAACGCAGTTCCCCTCAAGCTGGCTCTGGTCAACGCTGACCCACTGGGAGAAGAGATCAATGTTATGTTCAAGGTATTGTATGTACACACCCACATGCACATTATGGAGACTGCTAAAAATAAAGCTTAGGAACAGCTGTCAGTATTTCAAACAATACCTGTGAACTGGTTCTTGTGTATGTTTCCTTCATGCTTTATTAGTTTAAGCTAGGGAGTTGTCAGGTACATCACTGTTGCTTACATGCCTCTCATCTGAACACTTTGCACCTTCGTGGCTGAAATGAAATGCAAGCGGTGATAAGATCAGTGCAGTGCCTTAGTGTTGTCTGTCTGTTTGTGTATCAGGTTGGAGAAGACCTGAGGCAGGACATGTTGGCTCTTCAGATGATCCGCATCATGGACCGCATCTGGCTGCAGGAGGGGCTTGACCTCCGCATTGTCAACTTCAAATGCATCTCCACCGGAAAGGACAGAGGTAACGGACAAACTCACCAACTTTTATATATACCTCCCCTAATAAACACACAGACCCTCTGGAAACACTACACTACAAACTTCATGGTACAAATGGGTCTGAATCTTTGACTCTATTAAAAATATGGACAATGCGTCACCACTTCCTTACACTATGCAAATGTGAAGTCAAAACATCATCAATACAGAAGCTGCCATCTTGGAGTTTTGCAATCAGATTCTGAACAGTAGTACACAAGCAGCTGAATGACATATCACAGAAATCACCTCTGGGAAAAAGTTTGCTTGATTTGTACTTTGAGTTTTTAGTGTGTCTCTTGTCACATGCACTAACATGGAAAGGGTGGGATTTATGTCCTGTACTACAACCAGCCACCAGTGGCTTTACTTCTAGGAGCTTTCATGACATCCATATTTACAGTATACTGTATACAGTCAATAGTCTGAGCTAAGCAAATGGAAATATAACAGTTTAAGCTCTTTGCTGAAATAGTTCATTGTAGTGAGATGACACAGGCAGAAATGAGTTTGGAGTCCTGTTGTGTAGTCAGTTTGTAGTCTAAAGCAACTTATTTCAAACCCTTTTTGGTTCACTTGACATATTCTGACCTTTCGTGGCACTACAACATCATATCACGTCATACAGAGCTGACTGTCATGTGCCTGCATTGTTTAAATAAAAGTTGCAATGTGTGTTTAGGCATGGTTGAGCTGGTTCCATCCTCCGATACACTGAGAAAGATCCAGGTGGAGTACGGCGTTACCGGATCCTTTAAGGACAAACCGCTGGCAGAGTGGCTCCGCAAGTACAACCCTGCTGAGGATGAGTATGAGAAGGTACACATAAAGGATGTGCTTGCATCAGGGAACATTGCCTTTGTGTTTATTGCACATTACAGTCAAAAAATCTACTGTACAAAGTTTGACCCTGACCCACTTTGTCACCTTATGCCACTCTGGAAAGTCTTAATTCCAGGGTTACTTAAACCTGCTCTAAAGCAGGGAATATATCTTTTCCCTGTGGTCAGAAACTTCATTTCCTTCTCAAGCATTTGGCCTTTTGCCCTCCCTACACTGCACCATGGTAGTACCTGCTATGTAGTTAGCCCAACGATAGCTAAAGCATGTGTTTGACACTTTCTCTCTTCTTTTTCTTTCCAGGCATCAGAGAATTTCATCTATTCATGTGCAGGATGCTGTGTCGCAACCTATGTATTGGGCATCTGCGATCGCCACAATGACAACATCATGCTGCGCTCCACTGGTCACATGTTCCACATCGACTTTGGCAAGTTCCTGGGCCATGCCCAGATGTTTGGCAGCTTCAAAAGGTGAAAATCACATTTGGTCTCTAGCAGAGCATATGAGCAGAGTGAAGCAGTGAGAATCTCCTCTCATCGTGCTTGAGTAACTTCATTGAAGTGTTTAGACACTTTGTAGTAACTTGGTTAAGGCTGCCTCTGTGGTAGCTTCAGTGCCCTTTCACTTTCTTGGTCCAGATTTTTTCAGCAATTTAATTGAATACTTTGGATCCATAAACTGTGAGAAGCTGACTTTAAATTTTTTTTCTTCCTGTCCTTTCCCATCAGGGACCGAGCGCCATTCGTTCTGACCTCTGACATGGCGTACGTCATCAATGGAGGCGAGCGTCCCACCAGTCGCTTCCAGCTATTTGTAGATTTGTGCTGCCAGGCCTACAACCTCATCCGCAAGCACTCCGGGCTCTTCCTAAACCTGCTGTCGCTGGTGAGGCAGAACACACACTCACATATAAACCATATAGACAGGTAGAGTATAGATACAATAACACACCGCGTATTTATGCGCACAGTTGCATTAGGAATACATACAGTGGGGCAAATAAGTATTTGATACACCACCGATTTTTCAGGTTTTCCCACTTACAGAGAATGAAAGATCTGTAATTTTCATCGTAGGTACACCTCAACTGTGAGAGACAGAATCTACAAAGAAATTCCAGTAAATCACATTGTTAGAATTTTAAATAATTTATTTCCATTTTATTGCATGAAATAAGTATTTGATACAATAGAAAAATATAACTTAATATTTGGTACCGAAACCTTTGTTTACAGTTACAGAGGTCAGATGTTTCCTGTAGTTGTTGACCAGGTTTGCACAAACTGCAGCAGAGATTTTGGCCCACTCCTCCATACAGGTCTTCTCCAGATCTTTCAGGTTTTGGGGCTGTCGCTGGGCAACACGGAGTTTCAGCTCCCTCTATAGATTTTCTATTGGGTTCAGGTCTGGAGACTGGCTAGGCCACTCCAGGACCTTGAAATGCTTCTTACAGAGCCACTGCTTAGTTGCCCTGGCTGTGTGTTTGGGGTCATTGTCATGCTGGAAAACCCAGCCACGACCCATCTTCAATGCTCTTACTGAGGGAAGGAGGTTGTT